GAAGTGGGGATGGCCTTCAGTCCAAACTCCTATACAAAAATCTGCCACATCGTGGTGTTTGGCAGAGCAAGTGGGAAAGAGGTTAATTGTTTTAGCCTTTCTAAAAGAGCTCTGATGGGAAATATCAGCCTTGGCAAATGGACTAGGAACAGATAAATAGACTCAGTGCTTTTGGCCACATCCTCTATTATTAGTAAGAAGCACATTTCCTTTTGGGGTGAATGTTAGGGACAAAAATAAGGCTCTTGAGATCACCACCCCTCTTATTAATGCTGTTGAAGCACTCGGGCCTGCATTGAGGGTGACTGGCAAATGCATCCTCACAAAAGCAAGTGTGGCACATTTAGGATCCTATTCACTCTGGGCAGGAAAAAAGGGGGATTTTGGCACTGGAAATGCAATGCACAATCTTGGCAGTGGCTATTAACATTCTAAAATGGGGGTCCAGGTCATATCTATTAAGGTCCAGGTCATATGGTAGGGAGCAGCTGATGGTTATTTTGAGGTTGCCATTAAGATCTTCAGGCATGAGGGTGCCCATTTGCTATCCATGTGCAGGCAGCTTTACCTTTAATAACAGGCAGCTTTACCTTTAATTATTTCGTAGGAGCCCACTTCTCCATTTCAGCAGGTACATATTATATCTTTCAGAGAGTTTCTTTTTTTCTTTCTTTTTTTTTTTTTTTGAAACCAGTGAAAGAACAAGGAAAAAAAAATCAAAGTGTTGCCTAATGGCACAATTCTCCCCTTAATCTTTTAAATCAATTTTGCCTTTCCAGCATTGCCAGGCTTTCTGACTTCTTGTATTATGGGAGTTCACAAAGCTAAAAAGAATCTTCTTGAGTATTCAGAGTTTTCATCTGAAGAGAAGCCTGTGGCACCGCAGGTGCTGGGTAAACTTGTTTGTTTAGGACACCCAGCCATGCTCTGGAAGAAGGGAACAGTGGGATGCCCTTTGCTACAAGGAGTTCTCAAGCAGCTTTGCAAATGAGGAGGAGGCAAGTCTCCTCTGCGCTTCCTTGGCCACCCAGATGCAGTTTTGCCCTGAGCTTGAAGGTTTGGGGATGCATGTAAGGGGAAGGTGAGTGGAATTTAGTCAAATGCTTCATGATCAATATCAGCTGCTTCAAAAACCATTTTGTATTAAACTTCCCATGTAAAACAAATTAAAACCTCAAAGGTGGTTTCTGGCTACAAACCTAGCTCTAACAAATTTGGTTCCACCACACCTAGAGAAACGTCTTCCATGCCGCCATGCTGATTCTAGAAGTCCTGAGTGGGTTTGGGAATACTCACTGCTTGGACATTTTAAAGTCAGGGGTGTATCGTTGAGATGGGATTGCCAAGAGACACAGCAATTCCTTTTTTTGGAGACTTTGAGAAAAGCACAGACTACGGGCAAAGCAGAGCTGAGGGGATGTTTGTAGCTTCTTTCTTTTTTCTGATTCCATAAACGTCAGCCAGAAACTTGCCTTTGTAAATACAAATTACATTTAGTACAAACCAAATAACTAGAGGGCTGATTCAGTATTTAAATTGTTCTGGGGGAACTTTTTAAAAACTGCTTTTGCATTTATATTTTACAGAGTGAAAAAGGACAATCATGGAAAAGCACAACGAACTGTGACGAGACAAGTGGAAAAAACCTGAGCATAACAATGAGGAGCCTCCTGGGCGGAATTGCAGGAGGACGGGCCTGAGCGTTCCTTGCGGTCCGCATGTGCAATTATGTATGGATGAAAAATTACAGGGGCTAATAATTACAGCCACAATTGTCCACTTGCAGAACAATTAGCCCTTTGCTCCTCATTCTGAGAAAGTGACTAATTGTACCACAGCAAGCCAACTAAAAATGCATTTGTTTTGGAAAGAAATGTCATGCTTGCCAGGAAGTGCCACCTACAGGAGCAGGAGACCTTGGGTGCCACAAAGCCAGTGGCCGGCGACCTGGGGCTTTGAAATATCCACTTTCCACCCTGAGATATGTGGGAAAGTGAGAAAAAAAAAAAAGCTAATTCCTGACCTATTGTGGACCACAGCATACCATCTATATATTAAAAAATGAGGAAAGTAAAAATAGAATTCAGATAATGATAACAATTATATTTAATGAGAACCTTTCATCAGAGATCATAAATGCCTTCTGGTTAAATTTCACAGCCTCTGATAAAATGTAAGGGAAAAATATTTGTAAGCTAAACTTTATAGTCAAAGAATCTGAAGCTCTTCAGGCAGCAGTGAAGAGCACAATGTCAAATAGATTGTGGATAATAAATCTTAGAGAGTTCTTACTTGCTCCAGAAGTTACATTCCTGCTTGTTTAGCTAAGGTAAACACTTTCTCAAGATGAGGTGTGCAATGTGTCAAGTAGGTTATAGATTGGCAAAAAGAGATCCTCCCACACCCCCCCTCCACCCCCAACAACTCACATTCACAATGAGGTGACATTAAGTTCCTGATCATTAGCCAAGAAGGCAAAATCTTGAAGATCTGAGGTGAAAACTCGAGGTAGGAAGAGACGGCCTTACTTTGGGTGGCTTCCTGTGGCCTCTAGGTTTCCTTATGGGGTACAGGCGGCTGGCAACCCTGCCACATACCACGATCCCCACCAGCTCTTGGTGCTACCCAGACCTCAGCCTTGAGCTCACACCACCACTTCAGAAGGTCCCACTTGATGCCTTTCCATGTAAGATTCACACATGTTCTCAAAGGCCACTGACTGCAAGAACACTCAGGCCCTGGGGTCCCTGAACAGCCTCTGTCTCCAGTCTTACCAGGGTCCTGGGATGTGCCATTCTCTAATCTAAGCACGTTCTTTTTTGTCTGAGTGTTTCAGTAGTTTGGTTTGAGGACTTGAACAAATCTATCTGGCTGCAGTCCACTCTGAATGTCTAGTCATAAATTTTCTTTCTTGTTTTTTTTCTTTCTTTTTTTTCCCCAATTGTATTAACAGATGAGAGAAGGACTATTTAGGGCCCTATAAAGCATAGAGCCCCATTAGGTCATCTTTCCAGGTTTGGGAAAGTGGTGCTGAAGAATGTAGCCTTCTCCTCCTCACTCTCTTTTTCTTTAGAGACTGGCCAGATTTTTTCCCTTGTCCTACTTCTAATAAGTCCCAACAGACTTCCTCCCCAGCTCACTGTTCAGCTCCTTTTACATGGGTAGATCTGGGCTGGGCCTGGGCTGCCATCTCAATGCCTCTGGCACAGGGAGGTTGAGTGGATGTCAGGGCTTGGTCCTATTAGGAGACAAGGGCTGAGGCTTCCCCAACTTGCTCCTGTCCTGCTTACCCTAGGATGTTCCCAGCTTCTTACCCTGTCTGGTTCTTTCTTTTGAATTTGTGCTCTAAGGAAAGGTATACAGTTTTCCCAGTGGTTTCTGTCTAGTTCTTTCTCAGTTTCTTTTGTTTATTCTCTCAATAACTGTCTTAGTCTGTTGTATGCTACTAAAACAGACTACTTGAGCCTGGGAAATTGATAAAGGATATTTATTTCTTATAATTTTGGAGGCTGGGAAATCCAAGGTTGTGAACTGTACCTGGTGAGGGACTTCTTGCTACATTATCCCACGGAGGAAGCAGAATGGTAAAATAACACATATATATGAGAGAGGGGCAGGGGTTCCATCCTTTTTCTGGAACCCACTCCCTCAGTAATGGCACTAATCCATTCATGAAGACAGAGCCCTCATGACCACTGGCCTCTTAAAAGTCCTACTTCTCAATACCCTGCACCAGAGATGAAGTTGCTAACACATATACGTAGTGGGACACATTCAAAGTATAGCAATAGGAGACGTTTTCCAATAGAGTCCCTGATGCTTTTTCCTCTTTCAACATTCAGTACTATGCCCTCTTTCCAAGACCATCCATTTCATATTCTCCCCCACTTCTACAAATATCCATCTTCTACAGCAACTTTTTTTTTTTTTTTTTTTTAGTGAAGAAAGAAGGGAGGTACAGCTGTCTAATCACTCTCCTTATCACAGAAGCTCAGATACAAAAGGAATTGTGGCCTCAAGCCAAGATCCTAAGGTGACCCAAAAGAAAGAAAAAACACTTGTTTTTCTAAGATTTCCAGCTTTGGAGATGTCAGGCACATTGCCAGGGTTCCCCTTATCTCTCCCTTGGCTCTGCTCCAGCAGGCTCATTTATGCCCCAAACAAAATCATGTCTAAAACACAGCAGTTAGATACTTAGTGCTTTAGCTAAATTGTCTCGAGACCATTTTAATTCAGTATTCCTGGAAACCATGAGCATCCTCTTGGTGCCTCGTACTCTTCTCCTTCTACGTTCAGCCCAGACATTCAAATACCTTGCTGTGTCAGGCCACATGTGCATGCACAACCGTTTCAAGTAGAAGTTTCAGGAAGCAGTTATCTACCCTTTTCCTAATGGGATTGCTATGCTCTTATTTAAGAGAAACATGAAACTTCGAAACACAAAATTTAACTCAATTAGTTCTCAGGACATCTTTCCAAATCTGTCTCAAGGTCTGATTTGCCTGTCAGGGGAACTATTTTATACACACTTTTAGAGACATAATTACTCACAGTTAAAAATTTCAAATTGGAATCAATGTTCTTCTTGGCTATTTTTACCCCTGAAAAATCAGTAAAGATGGGCGGGCAATTGGTGGCAGGGACTGTATATACAGATAAGAGGAGCCTTTCTGCCAATCTATTTCCCAACTACAACATCACAATTGTGTCAAAGTAGGCATGGCACAAAGATCTTCTATTACCTGGATTGGACTTTATAAAGGCCTTTGACTATGAAGGAAGAAAATAGAAGTTAAAAAAAATGCTTAGATACAGACTATCCGGGTAGTCTTTTGGACCAAGTTAATCTCCCCTTGCAAATTGCCATTCTATAGTGTTCTACAGTATTATATTCTACAGTAGCAGTTAAGTAAATAGCTAAGTACCACTCAGTGTGTGCTTATACCTTCCTCCTCCCAAAACCTCAACAGTATTCTAGTTTCTCCTGGTTGGGAACTCACCTGGATCCTCCTTGCATTGTCCCAGATGGTGGAAAAAACAAAGCCTCCCTGGCTCCTAATCTTTCCTTTTCTTTGGAGATCTTCCATGGTTCCTAATGCTGTGACTGGCATACTTAGGAAAAGCCAGAGACATCTTATCATGAGAATGACTTTTAAAATAATCTGCTGGAGCTGACCTGTTGGAGGTAAACAAATAGTTAATGATTTCTATTACCATGTCTCTCCCTTAATTTTTATTTCTTAAAAATCTCATAGTCTCACATAATGGACTATCTAATCTGTAGCTAGGTATTTTTTTTTAAACTCATATTTCCCTTTTTTTTTTTTTTTTTACCTCTTAATGTTTTGTCCAAAGTCCAATCTCAGTAATAGGAGGGTCTTTGTGACAACCCTACTTTGATGCAACTGTGATGTTGCAGTTGGGGTATAAATTGGCAGAAAACCTTTCCTTACCTGTATATATAACCTATATAGTCCCTGGCCACAGATTGCTGCACTACCCTCAGCTTTAAAATCCTATAAAGTTCCTTCCTTAAACAGCCTATGATAGAGAATCAGTGACACCATGCTGTGGGGGACACCTTAAGCTTATCCCAGTGAAACTTCTTTTGGTTCTGAAATCCCTAAGACAGCATGGCTTTGCCAGCAATATTGTGTAGCTCTGACCAGATCATGAAGGTGCAATTCTTACTAAAATCCTGCCCTTTTAATCTCAAAGATTATATTAATATTTCAGAAAAATTCTCAATAATGGTCTCTGAGCTTCTAAGTCTTAAGCCAAACTCAGTATCAATAAGACTCAACATCAATCTGGGCAGGACATTAATGAATCATGAGTCTGCATCCAATTTTCTACTGTTCCAGAAAGCCCATGACCTCTCATTATTTTTCAACTATTTCTCCAAGTCTATACAATGCCTCTACTGCCAACAACTATAGTCTAAACTACAGGTCTGATTTAGGGCCTTTCTTGCTTGGGATGTATATTTACTACCCAGTGCTGTTGTCTGTGGTTCAATCACAAAACAGTTGCCCCTAGCATCCACAAGTTCTATCTCTGCAGAGTCAACCAATGGTGGATCAAAAACATTTGGGAAAAACTTGTGTGTTTCTTGAACATGTACAAACTCTTTTCCTTGTCGTTATCCCCACCCCCCAAAAAGTCTAACAACTAATTATATAGATTTAGACTGTATCAAGTGTTATAAGTAATCTAGAGATGATTTAAAGTATACAGAAATCTAAGAGTATATACAAATACTATATACAAATACTATACCATTTCATGTAAGAGACTTAAGCACCCATAGATTTCCTCCATCCTGGAACCAGTTCCCCACAGATACTGAGGGATAACTGTATTCTGCTGATGTAATAAACTCTATGTTCTTACATAGAACCATGGTTATCTCACTCTACTCTTTAGATCATGGTACTTTTCCTCACCCAAAATAGGTTCAGCCCTTTTGTCCAATCTTTAACATTTTGCATGAGATATTTTCTCACAATCAACTTTTCTTACTTCTGGAATTTCCCTCTAGGAACCACCCCCCACTCCTCTGCTTCCAGTTCAGGTGCTCTGGGCGGGGCTCACTCTACCACTCAGAGATGCATCATGGGACCTGGGCCTAAGGAAATGGACATTTCTGTGGCCTGAATGTGGCCCACATAGAATCAGAGAGTTGCTGAGACCACTGGGATGGGGCAGACATTTTCTCCTCTAGACCTAAATATGACAGGAAATAAAGTTTGGCATTATTGGCCACCATCCGGAGAATGTAAGGTATAAGCCAAGTGGAGAAGATAGCTAACCCTGAGAGAGAAGCCAGGGAGTGAAGAGAGAAGAAATGGGTCCTAGCCTTGAGCCCTGCTTTGGACTTATTGTTTTGTGATCTTTTTCTTTGTTCTCTGTTGGCTTTGGTCAATTTACATTGGGTTATATACTTGCATTCCCCAATGCTACTTTATACAGATTATTATGATGATTGATATAGGAAAATACACATAAAGTGCTTATCACAGTACCTTATATGAGGGCTTGACTCAATAAATGTTAACCATTATTGCAGTGATGATTAAAAGGACAGTGAATCAACATAATATTTAAACATTGGGTTAGTTTTCCTAGCAGTTAAGAATAATGTGAAATGCCTGTCTTGTGCAGTAATAAATGGCGAAAAGAACTTGGGAAGTTATGGAGAAATGTTCCATGGTCTGCATTGACTTCCTTTTGCTGTTTTCTGGAGGATCACTAACGGTGCCTCATTGTAAAGATCGTCCTTTCATGCCTAAGAAATTCCCTTTATCGTCTCTGATTTCCCTGGGCATTTTGTCACACTCTGTTACTAAGTTAGAAAGGTGTTCAAAAAGCTTTTCTTTTTGTATTTTGATTTTGGAGTCTCAGATGCAGGGTGGTATACAGTTTAACACCACAATTAGATGCTTCATCTGATACATTGGACACAATTCTGAACTTTCCCACATGTGTCCAGTCTCTTAGGACTCTAGAAAAGAATTGTTTCCCCAAGTGGATAGCTACCAATTTGGCAGGTGTTCCCCAAGTGGGAAATGAACTTGCTCATTATTTTAGATGCATAGTAGTTCATTGGCTTTAGAGATGTGTTCTGTTGCCTAACAGGAAGGTCTTTGAATGATTATCAGAGTCCAGTCTTGGCTGGACTTACATAATTTTATCAAATAGCTCAGATTCTCAGTAATCCCACAGTAATGATATTGATGAAATGCAGAAAGTTATATTTTCCACCAGTTGTTGAAATATCTGTACTCTGATATTAATGTGAGATTTTTCAAAAGTAAATGGTCATTATCACCCTCACCCATTTTTAGCCGTAGGGGATTTAATAATGCTGACTCTAATTTTCTTTTGGTCTGATAATTACAGAGTATGCAATTCTGGTCCAAATAAAGGTTAACATCTGCTTTGATTGGTCTCACTCATTGTTCTGCAGTGCTTTGCATCCAGAACAGTGACTGTCATCACTATTATCACAGAACTTTTATTACATGCTGGAATTTTCTACGGCACTCCACAAGACAAAGTGTTCCCTGGTGCTTACCTCGGAGAGAGACAATGTAGATGAATAAGTATGAGAAATTTACCAGTCCATCCAAGTGTTTAGCAGGGCTTTCTTGGGGCTTTCCCCAAGGATGCTGGTTATAAATGAAATGAAACCATCATTGTACATCCTGTGGAAATTGTTTCTCCATAGGACAAACTAGAACAACCAGAGGTCGTTAACAATTCTTTAGAGAAACTGCACTACAAAATGGTATCATTTTCTATAATTGTTGCTCTCATTTAGTATATAAATTCTGAACTTTAGAAAGATAATTTCCCTTCCCCTTTCAAGAATACACACTTTCAGATTGTGACAAAAAAGAACAATGAGTTCAGTGAAGTCCAATGAATCCAAATGAACTTCCAGGAGAAAGACAAACATGATTCAGAGGATAAGGGATTTGTTAAGTGAGATAAACTCGCAACAGAAATTGAACAGGTGGATTCAACAATATTTGTTGATCTTAAACCTCTCAAAAGCTGAAGAGAGAAGAAAGAAGAATTTAAGAGTTTAAGCCATGACAATATTTATATAAAATTTTAAATATACACACAGAAAATAGTAATTACAGTCTGAGGATCTGCCTATATTGTGAAAGTATAAAAACAAGGATGAAATAAACAGCACACTAGTCTCAGGAAAAGTGTTAAACTAAGAAGATGGGATAGAAAAGAATATGAAAAATTTCATACAGGGTTTTAAATGCATTGGAGTTCTTTCTTTGTTACTGGGGATGAACTGTTGGGGCTCGCACACATGCTAGGCAAGCATCTACCACTGAGTCACACCTCCAGCCCTTTATTTCTTTTTCTTTTTTTGTAGAAAAGATATTATTTCAAAGAAATATGGCAAAATTTTAAGATGTGTTAAATATTGGTGGGTGGTAAATAGTTTTTTTTTTTTGAAATTTTCTGTTTTCAATGAACAATATATTTCTTAAAATTTAAGTAACTGCATTGTTTACTAGAGTAGAGGAATACAGTAATAGAATTTATGACTTGAGAGATTAAGGTATAATTCTAGTTTATGAACTGTGTTTTATGAATGAGGACACAAAGCTCTAACAGGTAAAGTGACTTTTTTTTTTTTTTTTAAGGCCACAGAGTGGTGCCATCAGAATGTAACTCAAGTCTACACCAGTGTCCCCAGCCAATAGCTCTCTGTCCAACATATATCATAAGCATAGGCCTTAAGCAAAGCCTTCCTAATGATGAAATATGCCCTGCTCTCACTCTGGGATAAGTGACAGAAGATTCTTCACTGGAGACATTGCAAACATGCCTGTACATTTTTTAAAAAGGACACTTGGGGCTTGAAATGCATTCAAGTCAATAAATGCATTGAGTACTCACTAATTGTAAGGCATTGTGTGTCCTCCCCAGACAAGGTTCTTGTAGCTCTTTTCCATCTATAACTAACTTTGTCATGGCTTTCCTCTTAATTGGCTGAATGAAGGCAGAGAAACATAATAATTAACCCAATTGTCCTTGATGAACCAGATGAACGGTTAGAAGCTAATGATCAAGTGGGAACATTCCAACCTGGGAACATGGCAGCCTTGAACTCTCTAGACACGAAATCCATATTTAGAAATAAGAGGTGGAGGTAGAAAACGGCCAAGTGAATAGAAGGGCACACATTTAGGTGTCTCTCTGTAAAACCATAAATAATGATGTCATTAAAGAAGTCAAGTTTTCAAGCTCTAGAAATAATAGGCAGCAAATCTGTTACTTCTAAATCATCTCTCTGATAGTCTGTGCAATCAAAAATGATTGTGAAACCACATGGAACCAGACAGATGATTAAAGTGCTAGAAGGAAAAGCCCCATGGAAGGGATTGCTCTATGGAGGATACGGCACATTGGCAGACTAGAGGAAATAAGTCCTAAATCACAGAGCATGTTAAACATAAGGAGTTTCTGGCTGCTCATGTTGGCAAACATGAAGCTCGATTTATTGAAATAGGTTTTGGAGGCTTCAACTCAAGATAAATTCTAGCAACAAAATTTATTCTGTGTGACTAAAATGTCTTCCTCTGGGACCAGTGGATAGAGCAGCCAGATTCTCAAAGGTCCTTCCAAATCTATGATCCGAAGTCTGTTTCCAACATCAAGGCTAAATGTTGGTTAACCAGAAGAGCTGTTAAGTTTGCCTAGAACGAATTTGGGTATTCCTACTTTTCATAATACAAATGGGTTGAGGGAGCTGGTGGGGTGAAGTGGGTATCATGCAATGAGGCAGATAATGGCCATTGAGAAGTAGACCTAGGAGGAAATAAAGTTTTCCAAATCCATTTGGAGTCACATGCATCCCTACTCAGGCTTGTACACATCCATTTCCATTGGTCTCACACAGTAACAATGGCAGAATCTGAATGTGAGAGGGAGATGCACTATAGAGATGGCAGCCTCGGACATCCTACTGCCCCAGCCCCAGCCCCAGCCCCAGCTCCAGCTCCAGCCTCAGCTAACACTGCTGTCCACAAGATCACTGGAGCATGAAGAATTGAACAACAGGGATGAGATGGGGATGACATGGGAACTTTGGAGGAGGGAAGAGAACTATAGAATTGCGAGCAGTGTTAGTAAGCTTCCCAGCTTACTTGGGAAGGTCCTGCAAATTATGGAAAGTATAGCCTTTTATACACTCAGAAGTGTTCCCCATTTGTATGATAAATTACATAGTCACCCAGAGGGCCCATATATATATGGCCTGTATTAATCCAATAAGAATATTAACATTATCACTTGAGAATGTTGGCACTGTGGTAGTTCGTGTTCTGACTCACAGCTGAGTAAAGGGGCAAAATGTCAGCCTTACCATAATTCCTTACATCCAACTCTTGCGGAGGCTGTGAATTTAAATGGTTCCTGTCTTTGAAGCTGCAAATGAGCCCTGTCAAATCTGCAGGGTTGTCAGGGTCCTTGCTGACAGGTGAGCCTAGCAAGGGTAGATGGACTCTATCCACCAAAAATGATCTACTCAGCTCTATCAATGGTTTGAATATCCTCTGCAAAAAAAAATTGCTTTTATAAAACTTACCTTCCCTTTCAAATATAAAAAAGCAGAGCCATGTATATTATGCAGCTATTGGAGAATATATTCCTGGAGAAATTTAACTGATTATCTTTACGATCAGCCAGCGTTGACTATGGTGCTTGCACAGATGAAAGAAAGAATGATTAAATCTCAAAAGAAATGTGGGCATTTTAAACAAATTGGATTCTTTTTCCATAATAATCATCTTATTCATGTATTCTTTCCTCTCTAGTAGCATTT